AAATCTCTCTAATACGATTGTCTATTACTTTATTTGATAGTTTAATACTTACAGATTTAATCTTCTGAGCTGTAATAAGAGAGTGGCAAGCAAATCTGTCATCCTGGCATGGACACTGGACCTCTGGATCGGTACAGTTACGTATGTGTTCCCTTAGACATTCCCCCAGAGATAAACACAATAATAAATTAGACAAGCACAACGAATAGGATGAGATACTATCCATTTTCCCTTCCGATTCTTGAAAGGTTTCGAAAGGTAGGCAACTTGAAGGTCATAAACACTATGCGGCATCTCGATCGAGGGATTCCCGCGGGAAACTTGAAAACGCAGATTAAAACAACMTGGTGTAAGGGTCTAATAATCTTCTTCAGTCTTCTCCTTTATCATCCTTTGGTTTTCATGTCTATCTATTGTATTTATTCATTCGGTCGGTCCTAAAGTCCGCTGCTGGTTGGTCGGTCGTCGGGTCAGAGACCTTTAGCACAACGTTCTTGCCAGATCCCGCAAACTTCAAACTGCAGTTCGACATCAGGCGTTTTCCGTCAAATTTACGGGAATTAGCAAGGCGTCACAACGAAGTTGTTGCTGGAGGAACCGCCATATTGAATTTTATTGATGCTGATTGTTTCTCCGTGTTTGTCAAGGGAATGACACGTGGTCTGAAATGGAAAAACATTGCGCCCGAGCCGGGGAGGTCTATAGCCAGAAAGAAGTGTTTACAAGGGTACTGTTAAGGGACCGCTCTCGATAGGCTGTACAAGGATTTATACTTTATTTCTCAATTTTTTCTTCTAATAACTGATTACGCTGGAATACGGCTAGTTATATTCATAATGGTTTCATGACAGTTGTCAATCAAAGATATCTTGTACAGAATCTCTAAACTATGATTAGTTAATCAAATATGTGCATTCTTAGGCTCAATATTCATATTGGTATATTGGTATATAAATCTAATGATTACACATAGCTAGAGCTAAATTTAATGAATAACAGTAACACGACTGATATATAATAAAGATTATAATGCGTGTTCGTGTCATAAGACTTTATAGGATACTCCTTAAATGAATGAACTAAAGAATCAAAATACAAAAGGGGTGACCAAGGGGTACGAGTATTTATCASAGGATTAGCACATTACTTGCAATC